TGCTAAAATCCTGGTCTGGTGCCTAAGTTTCAGGGCAGGTCGATCTTATGAGGGCCTGAAAATGGCCCTCCGTTTCAGGCTGAAAAGACTCAGGGCCTGGAGGGCCCTGTTTTAGGCTGAAACGACAGAGGGCCTGTAGGCCCTTGTTTTCAGGCTTTCAGGCTGAAACGACACAGGGCCTGTAGGGCCTTGTTTTCAGGCTTTCAGGCTGAAACGACACGGGCCCTGAAAATGGCCCTTGTTGTAGGTGCAGCATGTGCAGCGTGTGACAGAGCCTCAGTGGCTTGGGAACTAGCCAGAGGTGCTGACTCTCACCAGTTAAGATCATGCATTGTATTGTATTTGATTACATTTGATTTCATTATGATTTTGTTATGATTTTGTCATTATCTTTTTTTATATTTCTCATGGGACAGAGCCTCAGATTCGACCTTGCTGTGGCTTTGGAACTAGCCTGAGGTGCCGCCTCTCACCAGTCGGGATCGTGCATTCTATTGTATTTGATTTCATTATGATTTCATGATGATTTTGTTATGATATTTTAATTATATTATCATTTTTTCTGTTTCTCGTGGTGCCGGGTGATAGGTTTTGGCTTTAGTTGTTTCTTCTGCTCCCTGTGGTTAGTGTGTCTTCGGGTGGGCGGGACAAGGGAGGTTGGGGATCTTCTCTGGGGTTTTGTTCCCCGGCTGGGTGTGCTGGCGCAGATTAGCCAATCTTTGAAATTTATTCTTTCTCCTTCCGTTGAGCCTAGTTTGCCGTTGCCTAGTTTGATTGAGGTGAACCTTTTGATTACTTCTTCTTTTTGGTCTATTACTGTGTTCACCCGAATACAATGTACGGTCATTATAGCTGTATTTGGGACATCTTTAGGTCTAGATACAGGAATACTGACCGTACGTTGTATTCGGGTGAAGAAAGTAGGGTCTGTAAAGACTCTGTATCTGTATAAGTGTTTTTTTTTTTTTCCATAGTGCGTGGATCTCTGTTTCTATTTTTTTTTTTTTTAAATGTTTAAGAGCACTGCCTAGTTTGTTTGCATGAACTGGCAGGTTTAAACCACCAGTACCTACCGCGTTTTCCGTACCCCCCGGCCTTGAATGAATTTGAACCGGAGGGGCGGGCCGATTTGGCTTCTGCGTTAACGGCCACGCCATGGGATGAGGACAATTAGCAAAAGAACAGTCCCATAGAGACTCTGGCCTTGAGGGTGAGGTCGCCGGCTCAAATCTGTACTTGCACGGAGGAGGGCTTAGGCCTAGAGGGTATGGTTCCATAACTACTGGGCGCCCAATTGCAATACTCTGTCACTCATGTCATGCTGTAGTTAGTGTTCTGAAACTGGGCATCCTATCTGGCAAGTCTCAGCACACCTCTTTATTCCTATGCTGGTTTTCCCGATCCATTCTCACCAACCTCATGACAGGGCCGCGCCCTGGCTACACAGAACGCTGGCGACTACAAGCGAGGCCGCTATAGGTGCGACCAGCAAAAAGTACGCCAAATGGCAAATACCCTTGTAAGGGCATACTCACACTAGGCCCTCAAAAATAGCAAAAAATGAACACCCGAGATCCAGTGCTTGTAAACAGAGGGCTCTATCTGGCCGCTCATTTTGCGATTTTGAGATGTTGAGCGCCTAGTGTGAGTATGCCCTAACTTTTGTAAGGGTATTTGGCACGACAGCGTCCAATGACAACTTTTGCCCTTTTTTTTTTTCCTCTCTTTCTTCTTTTCTAAAACTAAACTATATTCTTCTCTACATATTCTTTCAACTTTTCACGGCCTACCTACCACTACTCCTAAGGCTATACAGGGGACCCCTGCAAGCATAGCTATCTACCTCTCTTCGTGAGGGGAGGTTACCTCTCGGTGGAGGGAGGTAATTGCATGTTTGCCCCTTGCCTCAGGGTCACGTCGAAATTCTTTACCCCCCCCGAAAAAAGTTAAAAAAAATCGAGCATTTATTAAAATTGGCGAGGGTTTACCCCTCGGCATAAGGCCCTGCAGCAGGCGCGTGCCCACCCTAAGTGAAGGCGGGCCCCCTGAATCTCAATGTGCCCTGAATTCGTCAATTTTTGCAAATCTTGGTGGGCGCCAGACAGTTGCCACGCGCAGTTGGTTACATCCGCTTTGCTCGACAGAATCGGAAATATGTGTGAGCCTTCCAGGCTCTTCCAGCAATGTGGTTGAAGCCGGGAACACCGCACGTTTGTGCCTGGGTGGTTAGGCATGCCTAACCAATTCGATCCCAGGCCGCTGTCTGAACGGGCCTGGGCGCAGACTCTTTGGTCCAACCTGAAGCTACGAGGCACACGCTAGGCCAGGCCAGGCAGCCAACCAGCCAGGCCACTTTGCATAGAGCGAAGTGTGTGGCCGAGGGGAGGGCATTCGGGCACTGGCTTGTGCAGGCAACAGCGCTGCTGGAGCGTGCACTCACGGGCTGCTTGCTGTGTGGTAGCGGATGCTGGGGGTGCGCGGGCGTCGAGGAAGAAGGCTGGGCACTGCTGAGGGCAGCGCCATAGCCCAGCCCACTTAGCCGGGCTTGGGGTTGGAGAACCAGCAAGAGGTGGTGGTGGTCTTTGTGCATGAGGGAGAAGACGTGGGTGATGAAGTCGAGGGTGAGAGAGAGAGAATGAGGTTGATGATGGGAGGGCACGTACCTGGTTTTGGCGATGGTCTAGAAGGTCGACAGCTTCATATACTTCAGTCGTTGCTGTTGACATCAACAGGATGCATTGTCAATTCAAAGGCTGCTAGTAGCTGTGTGATCGTAGTCTGGGCGCTGAGCGCCAAGTAGGAGGAAGGGCTCTGGATACATATGTTGGTGGTGGCGAGAGTATGCTCTCATTGACATTCGGATTCGGTGCTTTGGCTCTCCGTTGGTGAAATATCAGTGCATTTCTGCTTTCTGGACAGCGTTGAACTTTCTGGCTTTCAATGTGATAACAGTGATATTGCATTTTGGATTTCTGTCATTTTGCTATTCACTCATTGTCCTTGCAAATTTTAAATTATTTAATATTTTTATTTTTTATTTTTTTGGCTCGGCCGGGCGAGTGGTCCCGGGCCACTCTGGCAGCCTATTGGCACTACGAGTGTCACAACCTAGTACTCCTTTTCAGAAAAAAAGCAGAGATAAAAAAGAATGGCTTTTTTGGAAAAAAAATCAAAGTTTTTTGAAGTTTTGTCAACTTATGTGAACTTTTCTCCAGTTTTTTAATGTATTATGTTGACCGTTTGCTGACCATATGAAATATCCAAAACATAAAAGGAACCGTGAAAAAACTAAGTGTTGAGCTGGACCGGGAGAGAGAGGCGAAGATTGCACTGGAGGCAAGACAATTGGAGCTTGAGGAGAAACAACGAGAACTAGAGGAGCGACTGCACCTGGAGGAAGAAGCTCGCCGCCGAACCAGTGAACAAAATAGACAACTGGTGAGGTTTTTTTTAAGGGGGGGGGGGGGGGTCTAATGAGAGTCTATAAATAATTATTGACAGTGGGACCATGTCAGAAAAGATAGACAACATGCCAAACACTCAAATAATTTGAAATAAACTTTTACTATTTTACAGCAGGCAGTAAATGTAGTAAACCTCATGCCATACTTCTCCCACTGCCAATCCTGCAAGTATTTCAGACCTAATCCAGAGTTATTGCAATGAACCCAGTCAGATGGAAAGCTCGTCAATGTCAGAACACAGAATGCCGTAGCGCAGTTTCAATGACTCTGAAATCGTACATGGATTCAAGTAGCCCAATGTCTCGTGACCAGAGAAGAGGCAGATGGGAGGGGGGGAAAGACTTAGAGGGTGGAAGAGAAAGTACCCATCAGCTGAGCAGATAGATCTTCCCTCACTAGCCAATTCCTCCTTCGGGCATCTCCAGCTAGCCACATCAGCAGACAGTCTCCTCTGACACGCTCTGTCAATGAACATATCTCAGCATGGCGCACACGGCGCAGACTCCTCTGAAGACGAACAGCAATGCGCAATGTCGACACCAACGCAGACAGGTAAGCTTTCCTTACGATCAACCAATCTCACAGCCCTGATCCTCCTCCTCCTCGCCAGCATCCCATCAACGCCGTAGACAGTGTGGCGAGAGTCACGTCAGCATAATCAAATGTCCAGCTGGTGCCGTAGACAAAGAAGGCGCCAGCATCCAAGCAGTAGCAGTCTCGTGTCATCGTATCAGCGTAGTGCCAGCGTCCAGCTAGCGTCCAGCCAACGTCAAGCCAGCGTCGAGCAGCAAGTGCAAGACTGAATGTTGGTCAGCAGGGGCTGGGTCAACATATAGTGTTCACTCCATTTGACCAGCCTCTGGTCTCTCAGCTACGATGGCCCGGATGGACTCGCAGCCAACGGCCTGGATTTCATACAGTTGCAGATTCCCACTTGGACTTGATTCTCAACAGATTCCTGCCAACAGCCCTGTGTGTGTGTCTGATCGATGGCCTGGGCTGGGTCCACGTTGACTTTGACTCGTGACCCTGAATTTATGAGCTGCTGTGGACCTTTGACTTTCCATGGTCAACGGTTGCACGTTGGGCCTCTGAAGCTCAGCTTAAGGCTTTGCTTCAGGTACTCACAACAGCAGGCCTTCGTTCAGGCAGTTTTCATGGCTTGGGCGTGGTTGTTGACCCCTGTGCTGGCCCTTAGACCGAAATGACAACCTATGGCCCACAAATATTGCATGATTTGAGCTGAGTTATTGCATTCCGTCGGGCCGAATTTCGAGTTTCATCGCAGAAACTACTTCCTTAGGCTCGGTTCTCTTTTAACCCACATGCACATGCAGCGACAATATCGTGTGCAATAGGTAGAAGTTCTTTCTTAGTGAACCATCTTGATTCTGAGATAGGTCGAGTCTTGAACTTACCTTGTACTGCGTCTGGGGTCTTCCCCTGCCACCTGTGGAAAAATATCCATGTTCCAATATTCGTTCAACTTCGTAACCTCCATTCATAGCGGGAGGAAACATGGGTGGCCGATTGGGAAACTCGTGGCCTTTGACATATGGTAGCCATTTGGAAGCATGAAAGACAGGGTATGTCTTGAGGTGAGGGGATACGTCAATTTGATATAACAGACCATCTGTGTCCCCTGTCACCTTGAGAACTTCCCAGGGTCCATAGTAGACAAGTAGCAATTTCCGAGACACATTTTCTTCGAGGGAGAATTCTTTAGACTTTACCCAAACTAAATCTCCTTCTTTGAACTGAGATGGTCGAGAATGCTTATCTGCTTGTTCGATCATCTGTAGTTGGGCATTTTGTATATTCTCCTTTACTTTAGCGATGTCTTGTTCATACATAATTGCAAATTCTCTGGTTCTTGGGGGTAGCCGTTGAACTTGTTCCCTAGTCAACGCATCAATTGGACGTCTAGGCTTCCAACCTTTGTGCAGTGTGTTAGGTATTATGCCAATAACAATGTGAACACTGTTGTTGTAGGCACTCACAATCTTTGGAAAGTTCTCATCCCAGTCAATTTGATCGGGCCTAACATACATTCGTAAAAGTTGTTGGCACAATCTGTTCATTTGCTCAGTTTATCCATTCGTTTCAGGGTGTCTACTTGAGGACATGGTCAGTGCTAAGCCATAAGCTTCTGCCATAAGCTTCTATTACCCATCGGTAGTAGACGAGGTGCTAACCCCAGTGCGTTACCCAATGCATTCCTATAGTGTTCTCTCCAACGTTGAATGATGGGTCTAACCGTACATCCCACATAAATCCTCTTCGTCTATCGGTTGACAACCGCATAAACACCCCACGTATCTGATCCAAGCAAACTACTCACTTCATGCGTCTTAGTAAGATACTTACTTAACCAGGGGATATGTCCTTGGAATGTTAGCAACAGTGTGGCGGTCGTGATCACGCACTGTTACGTTAAGCCCCAGCAACGCCGTCCTCTGCTTGAGCCAGCGACATAATGTTTCCCAGAGTCCGCTGTTCGCAAGAGGCCGCAAACCGTTATTGGTCTAACCGTACATCCTACATAAATCCTCTTCGTCTATCGGTTGACAACCGCATAAACACCCCACGTATCTGATGCAAGCAAAGTACTCACTTTATGCGTCTTAGTAAGATACTTACTTAACCAGGGGATATGTCCTTGGAATGTTAGCAACAGTGTGGCAGTCGTGATCACGCACTGTTACGTTAAGCCCCAGCAACGCCGTCCTCTGCTTGAGCCAGCGACATAATGTTTCCCAGAGTCCACTGTTCGCAAGAGGCCGCAAACCGTCATTCCGACTCGTCTGCGGGTTGTACTGCCGCATATCGGATGATCACAAAAACTTGCTTTGTAGTCTTCTTCTCCGCCGCGAGGCGATCCTTGGTAAACACCTTCCTCGGTGAGCACGATGCTTTAGTCTTGTCTGCAACATCCGCTTTCTTTGTCTGGTGTGTCTCATCGAAACCGCCGTATGCCAACTCGACCGGGAGTCTGACAAGTATCTCCACGGCCTTTGGTTTCTTCTTGTAATTCAGCCCCTTCTCCTTGCAAAATTTTCTCAATACATCTGCTTTCTTTGTTAAGTAGATCTTATGGGCTGATATGCAATACTCAATCAGCCGCTTCTGTGAACTTCCTGCCGCCAGTCCCTTAAAACCGCCCGTTAGCGGCGTCCTTGGCTCTGCCCCCCGCGCATTGATCGAGATCTTCACCTTGGTTAGCCCTCTGTTGTTTCGAACTCTCTCCCTTCTCGTACGTCCTTGGTGGAGTCTCCTCCATCCTCGCCTTCCCTTTCCCACTCGACTTCTTCGCCTTCCCCTTTGATCATCGTGCGACCTTTCTCCCTTGAGTAATCTGTCGTATATTTCTTTCATCCCCGTTTGTATCTTAAGTTGTTGACGTATCCGTAATCTCCTAGAACGAGTTGCTGCCTGACTCCGTCTCGTCGCTCGTCTCCTCATTCTTATTTTTCCCTCATTTTTTTTCCCCGTGCCTTAGCAATCTGACGTGTGTCTGAGCGTTTCTTCCACCCAGACTTCTTAACTTTAGCTACTGCTCTCTCCACCTTCGTGTTGTTCTTCCTCCATTCCTCCATTAACTCAACGCGCGGTTGTAGCTTGAATTCGTCCGCTTTTCGCGCAAATTCCTGGTTTCTCCAAAGCTCATCCTCTTCCCTGGATTTCCTTTCATCCTCCAATCTTCCTCTTTCTTCCATCTCTTGTTTCCCCCTCCCGACTTGCCGAAAGTTCAAGGTCGTCATTCTGTGTCCCGTAACCCCTTCTACTTCCCCTCCTCGACCAGCAGTCCCGAGCGAAATGGATGGGCTTTCCACGATTGTAACACACGCTGCCGCCTCCCCCTGGACCTCCACCCCCGCCCATGTATCCATTGTTGTTTTCACACCCTTGTCCCATTACCACGTTGTTTGCCTCATTTCCGAAGTTTTGTCCATTACCCCCCGCCCCCTGGCTACCCCCAGAGGGGTTGGTAGTGAGAAACATCTTCGCGTTCTCTAGTAGCTCTCCCCTCCCCCTGTAGTGACCATTATACCTGGTCTTTGCCTGTCCGTTACCGGAACGGCAGTGCTCGCCTTGAGAGCTAACCTCCCACAATAGGAGCGAAATCGGCACATGTCACTCCCATTATACCCGGAATAGTATAATCCCAGACACGCTTTTGTTCGCCACCACTTCTAGCCTTACTCCATCCAAATATCCACAGTCTCACAATATTGAACTCTACGTCTTGTCCTTAGAGTAAGAAGAGTTCTCTCAATCCTAATCAGCAAGCTCATTAACATATCATATAGTGCATTCCATAATGGTTCAGCCATGACAAATCCGATCATGTAATCCATAGGTTCTGTCGTATTCCTTACGTGGCTTTCAAGGGACTGAATCAACCTTGCACACACTGCCGTGCGTATCCTTACTCCCTCACACCTACCTCCGTATCTAGCGCACGTCAGAATGCCAAGCCCACTAAGATTCCTAATAGCATCACACCTACGCCGTGTTTAACAATCTGAATAAACCTTCCACCTCTCTTCATCCTTCGCCCTATCTCAATCAACTATACCAAACACCACTTACCTCTCCCGATATTCACCAATCCTTACCCGACCCGAGTTTCAACCACATGAACCCACCGCCTTCCCTGAAGCCAGTCTCGCAACGCTCACCGAGAACTCACCATCTGACTCTCAGAGTCCTGCGCATTTCTCGTTAGAGGTCCGTGTAGTTGTCGTGCTGTCTTCAGGTTCAGCATCTCTCATATTGCTCGTCCATCAGAGCCGCCCACAAGCTCCTCAGTGGTCTGTTAGCCACAACCCTGGCCAAATCAGCCAAGGCACAGAGAGAGAGAGAGAGAGAGAGAGAGAGAGAGAGAGAGAGA